TGATTATTAACAGATTTACCTGTCTTATGCCAGAAGACAGTGGAATAACAGCCAAGGGTTTTATATCTAGCCAAACTTGACCCCCAGGTATAGGGAGCAGAGATACACTGTGTTCGGGTCATGTGAGGACTCTGGGAATATTGTTCACATGAACCTTTCCTGAAGAATCTATTATATAATCAGCAGAATGAGTTTTAGATAACAAAATTATTGGAGAAACTTTTACCTAATGACAATTTGTAAGCATTAAGTATATATTTACTTACAGAACTAAGACTAAATTATGGTTATAGGGGAGAGAGTATAACATGTCACAGCTCTGTTCTGATAGTGTAGATACAGTCTGTCAAAAAGTGGAAGGAGAGGGAAGGGTACATGAAAGGTAGAATGTCCTATTTGTTGCCTTATAAATGTTAACTGAGAATAAAAGGATAGTTCAAATTGGGTCCTGAGGGAGAGGGAAAGGCTGTAGAAGAAACAGGTAACACCTATTAACATTGCTTATTGTAGGCAACTAGTAGACAACAGTCAATAAAGTGGATACCATAAAGTATTAGTATAAACATAATCATGAGAGCAAAAATGTCAGCTTTTCTAAATACTAGAATAAACAGGCCTCATGACCACATAAAGGTTACATACATTATGTTTGTAGTTATGAATCACTTATAAAGTGAGATAAGAAAAGTTTGTATATCTTGTTTCTCTTTAAGAAGGGAAGAATTGAAAAAATATATGTACACTCATACATATGTTTATATGCATTTTATTTATGCATGTGTGTATATGTACACATATCTATGTGGATGGATGTGGATGTGTATCCTTATACTTAAAACAATGGTGGAATTCAAAAACTTAAATAATTACCTAAAGAGAAAGTAATGGAGTAGGATATAAAGAATAGGGACAGAAGTGAGAGAGACTTTTTGAGTATATATATATGGTGATAATTTGGGAGCCATGTAAATATTTTTCACAATTAGAAAATTTAATGAGCAATTCCTCCCAAGTAAAAAATGTAATAAAGCAAACCTGTGTTTGTAGATATTGGAATTGCCATGCAGAGAAATTATTCCAAGGAACTTTATTTTCTTTTTAAATACTCACTTAAGGATTTTTTTTTTTTTATGAGTGAGAGAAACAGAAAAAGGCAGAGAGAAAGAGAGAGAGAGAAATGCGACAGAGAAACACTGATTGTTTACATCCAATATGCACCCGACCCCACGGGGGCCAGGGCTATTCCAAGTAACTTGAAAACAGTAATTTGACTGTACATTCCTTATGGAATGTCCCTTCAGAATGACAACAACAAAAAAAAACTCAAACTGTTTTCACTAGTCATTTTGTTGATGCTTTATTAGTATTGTTTCATTGAATTGGTGATAAAGCAATTAATTATGTTGTTGATTTGAAAGAGAAAAGACAGAGGGTAATTAAAAACCATATAGTCCTGAAATTAAGTTTTACTATGATTATGAACTTAAAATGTATCTTTTCTTTAAAAACAAAAACAACAAACCTATTTCCTAGCCTCGTCCACTGAAAGGCCTAAAAACAATGACCATCCCAGAAGCAGTGAGCACCCCTAGTGCTCAGTCTCTAAATACTATTATAAAATACTGATGGTATTTAGAGACCTACTAATTCCAAGTCTGGGCCAGGAAATGTACAAAATAAGCCTGGAGCATCAGGTCATACTAGTAAGCAAAGAAACTGCTAAAGTGCACTAGAGTTTTGTCTAAAGCATTCCAGAGCCAACTTGAGTAGGTGCTTACTGAACAAAGACAGGGAAATTTAAGTACCAGTAATGAGACTACTGAATAAAAAACTTCAAATATTTAAAATTTTTGAATTACAGAAATATGTAAAAACAAAAACCTTCAGAAAATACTAGGGAATCAAATCCCTAGTTTTAGGGAAATGATCAAGTGTCTTATTTTGCCTTTCATATGTAAGCAATCCTCAGAATAACCAAATAGTCTCTTTACAGAGCTGCTGATAAATGAAGACAGAATGCTAGCAACATCCTGTCAGAAGTATACAACCCACCTCTGAAATGTTTTTTATGAACAAAAAATAAAACCCTGAATCTGATCAAACCTCTAGTTCTAACTACTAATTTACAGGAAAGTGAAGAGACAAAGGAACATGTTTAATTACACCATAGGGATTCATTCAGCAAAAAACAGACTTGTAAACTGCAGAACAAATGACTCACTTTTTTTATTTTTCAACAAATTGCAAGGGGTGAAAAGTGAAAAAGGACAAATCTATAGATTAAAACATATTTAAGAAACATAATAACCAATTGCAATATAAGAATCTTACTTAGATTTTGCTGTTTTAAAAACTATATTAATTATGCTATTACAGATACCCTGATTTTTTCCCCCTTTGCCCCCCTCCACCCAGCACCCCCCACTCCCTCAGTCAATCCCCCCACCATTGTTCATGTCCATGGCTCCTGAGTATAAGTTCTTTGGCTACTCCATTTGCTCATGGCTATCCTGTAACTACCTATTTGTACATCTTAATCCCCTCATCTCCTCACTCATTCCCCCACACACTCCTCCCATCTGGCAACCATCAAAACGCTCTCTGTATCATGATTCAGTCTCTGTTCTTCTTGTTTGCTTAGTTTGTTTTTTAGATTCAATTGTTGATAGATATGTGTTTGTTTTTGGTGGGTTGTTTCTGGGGTTTTTTTTGCCATTTTATTGTTCACAGTTTTGATCTTTTTCTTAAATAAGTCTCTTTAACATTTCATGTAATAATGGTTTAGTGATGATGAACTCCTTTATTTTTTTCTTGTCTAAGTAGCTCTTTATCTGCCCTTTGATTCTAAATGATCCCTTTTCTGGGTAGAACAATCTTGGCTGTAGGTCCCTGCTTTTCATGACTTTGAATATTTCTCTCCAGTTCCTTCTAGCCTGCAAAGTTACTTTTGAGAAATCAGCTGACAGCCTTATGGTAACTCCCCTGGAGGAAACTAACTGCTTTTCTCTTGCTGCTTTTAAAATTATCACTTTATCTTTAACCTTTGGCATTTTAATCTTGATGTGTCTTGTAGTGGGCCTCTCTGCACCTATCTTGTTTGGGAACCCCTGTGCTTCAAACAAAGCAGAGGGTTAAAACATTTATGGAACATTTGAGGGAATACTAACCTTGATTTTTAATGATAAAGGTTTGTTGAGTGTGCGGGAGAGGGAGAGGGGGAGGGGGAGGTCTCGTATCTTTTTCAAAAAGATTTTTTGTCTTTTAAAGGTAGATGCTGAAATATTTATAGTTGAAAGAATGTATTTCAGCTATATTCTGGGATTTGCTTCAAAAGAATCTAGGATGTGGGTAGGGAGGGAGATGTATGGAGTGTTATAGAGGGAACAAAATCAGCCACGAGTTGAGAATTTTTGAAGCTTGTTTATAGGAGTCTGGGTCTGTTGACCTACTCTGGCATATAAATGATTTCAGTATTTATGCCTTGTGTCTTTGAGGGTTTCTGGCCCATAGGTTAGAGATGGGGACTGGGAGACAGGAGGGCTTCCTGGAGGATGGAGTGTCTGATTGGAGTCTTGAGGAATAACGTATTAGTTGAGAAAAGGGCCCAAGTCACCTGCTGCCTAGTCTTGTGCTCCTTCCATTAATAGTAATAACTCTTAATGAGTTTTATTTTCTCAACTTTTGTAGAAGTTTTAAATTTTTTATTATGGAAAAAAGGGAAGAGTAAAAATATGGCCACAGCTGCTCCATAAGAATGGCTTAAAACAAAACAAAAACCCTGGCAACATAACTAATTTCTGAATTCCTTAAATCAAGTTTACCACTCTTCTTTTTTGAAGTAAACATTTTGTTTCGTATTTATTTTAGATTTACAATACATTTGCAAAGATAGTACGGAGGGTTCTTCTATACTCTTCCCCATCTTTTCTCATTATTAATGTCTTATATTACTATGCTTCATTGGTTAAAAACCAAGAAACTGACATTGGTAGGTTGCTATTAATGAAACATAAACATTATTTGGATTTCACCAGTTTTTCCATTACCATCCTCTATCTGTTCCATAATCTAATCAAGGTACCACATTGCATTTAATTGTCATGTCTCTCTAGTCGTCTTTGGTCTGTGATAGTTTCTTAGCCTTCCTTGTTTTTCATAATCTTGACTTAGCATATCGTTGTCCTGGTGACTAATGTGTTATTACGGCAAAAGAATATAGAAGAAAATCATTAAAGGGAACAAGTGTATGGGGAGGAGTCTGGGTAAAACCAGGCAGAATCTTCCAAAAGTCTTCTCCCAGTGAAGTCACACAGTATGTGCTTCATTCCCTCAGCAATGGGCTGTAACAACACACTTGAGGTGTTACCTACCAGGAAAGCTTGTCTCAGCCTAGGAATCCAGGGTTTTTATTGGGGACTGGTCAGGTAGGCAGTCTCTGCCTAACATGTATCCAAATTCCAGATTCCCTGAAGGAGAGGAGCATCTTATCATTTATAGAAAGTTTTATACCAGTATAAGGAACTATTTACTGGTCAAGTTCCCAGCCCACAGCCAAAGACCAGTCTTGCTCTAAGGATAGTAATTTTTGGCCTTCAGTGTTAACTCTTTTCTGCATAGGAGAGTATTACCTTTACTTCATATTTTTTTTGAAAAATGGAATCAGATTTAAAAATAAAGAGTATAAGTAATATAAGAATGAAAAAAATGAAATTTAAAATCAAATCAAGTCCTCTTTTTTTCTTTTAGTATTTCTTATGCCCATTTTAAAATATTGCTGTAAAAATATTACTCATATTGCAACTTTTCAGCTTTTGAAGAATTTCATAATAAAAAAAATACCTCCAGATTGTGACCTTGTTTATTGCCAAATAATTAGAAGGCTGTGTAAATTTCGGTAATAGGTAATAACATAACAACCAAAAACCTGGGTGGAAATCCCAGAAAGTAATTACTAAGATTTAAGGCACAGTATGTACTAGTCACTTACTTTCTTTTAATAGGAAAAACGTGGTCTTCGAGAAATGCGAGTTCTTGAGAATTGGAAGAATATGATCCATGAAACGAATGAACATACTCTTCCCAAATGTAGAGAAACAATGCAAGACAACTTAAACCAAGTTCTCCAGAAATGTAAGCCAACTATTTTTTTGATACTGCTTTATTTCAAATGAGTACTATGCCAAAATATATCTCCTTGAGTATTCTGGTGGGTAAAGAGAGAGAATTCTTAACCAGAACTTATAAGAGGTATCCTGTCACAGAGAACGTGGTTATCTAGTGATTAGTATGTGTTGCCATTGATGTTAAGAGCATTTATCTCCAAAGTGAGCTGTGTGCTTCTGCAGCGCACATGATTATCCTTTTAGGATATGAGAAAACTGAAACTTTTTTTACCTTAAAAATATGTACTCCATTAGAAAAATGTTGATAACCAACTATTAAGATCTGAAATAAGACAATTTTTTTCCAATAGGCTACTAGAGGGTTTTTTTTTTTTTAGCCTTTTTCGAAAATAATTCTGTCACAAACATTAGTATTTTACCACTTATCTTCATTAAACAAAATATTTTCATTTGAAGACACAGCTGATTTAAAAGATACTTATTAAACATACCAAATCATAACATAAAAGGGGTTTTATTAGTAACTGATTTTAAAATTAGAAGTACGTCAGAAATGTAAGGCTTCTCCTTGTGTCTGTGTTTACACTCTTCAGCTTTCCCAAGGATAATCCTGGTAAATAATGATGGATTATTGAAGTGCAAAATAAAATATCTTTCTGGGGAACAAAAATAAAAAAACTGACCTTTGAAGGAAAACAGCTGAGAGACCTTGGCTAATAATTGAGTTAAGTCTTTGTGTGCAAGTCCAAGTAAGTCTTGTGTACTCTAATGCTAAAAAGAGATTGAAGAGGACAGATCCCCTAAGGTCACATTTGGTTTCTTTGAGGGAACAGCAAAAAGCCTAAAATTAACCTTAGGCTTTTGCATTTTACAATACTATAAACTTATTTTTGTTTATTCATACTGTCACTTCCTAAACTTGACATTCTTGATAGCATGCTAAAAATAAAACTTATTATTAATAAGGAAGCTTATGTATGCATTTGAGCTGTGCCTATAACTTTCCTTTTCCACACTTTGAGTATATAAAAATACATTGGGTAAATCCTGGTAAAAATCTATAAATGGTTATTTCTACTTACCTCATTCTGGGGCTAGAGTTATTTCTGATGTGAGGACTAGCCTCTTAAAAGTATAGTCTTCAGCCCTGGCCAGGCAACTCAGTTGGTTGAACACCAAAAAAGGTTTCAGGTTCGATTCCCAGTGTGTGTGTATATGAGAGACAACCAATCAATGTTTCTGTCTCCCCCTCCCTCTCCCTCCCTCTCCCTCCCTCTCCCTCTCCCTCCCTCTCCCTCTCTCTCCCTCTCTCTCCTTCCCTCTCCTTCCCTCTTCTCTACTCCTCTCCCTTTGTCCTTCTCTCCTTCTCCCTCTCTCTCTCTCTCTCACTCCCCCCCCTCCTCCCCCCACCCCCCGCCTCTCCCTCTCCTCTTTCTCTGTAAAATCAATAAACTTATCTTTGGTGAGGATTTAAAGAAAAAAAAAATAGACTCTTCATAATGAAAGAGTCTTCAAAATGAAATAGCAAAGTATTACAGGTAATACGGAATCCAAAATTTAAATATATTCTCCTGAAAGGAAGAATTAAAATATCATTTATATCATTTAACTTGACATAAAATGCCAAGTTAATAATTAAGGTTTTAACATATGTGAACTGCTTTCAATCTTATTGTTAGCTTTAGAAAGTAACCAATGGCTTTTGGAGGTGCTTTTCTTCTAGAAGCAGCAAAGGCTTCCTAAGTAGACTCCGATAAGTATTTTCTTGTAGCATTTATCCTGAGCAGCACAGGTATAATGGAGATGATTACCTGCTTTTGAAGCTGATGTAATTTTAAAAATTCACCTAGGCCCTGCTATTGTTCCTAGGGAAGTGCGTATTTAAAACCTTGACATTTTAAGTCATACTGCCAGCTTATTTATTTTCACTACTAAATGGCAGGAAGTTGTGCAAAATCATTCAAGTGAATTTATATATGGAATATATTCTGATCTAAGTAATACTTTACGAGAATAGTGATGAGTCAAGTTTTGTTCTGTGCCTGCTAGTAGAAGTGCCATGTTCATCTCTTCTGTGCATGTTTGAGAAGTGTGCTGGCAGTGCCATCAGATGCTTCTTGGAACGCTACTGGTGTGGATCTTGGTCTGACAGGGCGCATAAAACTAACTGTGGAACAGTAAAGTGGAGACATCTCAAATTCTTTGAGTGGAGACCTATTACGGAATCTGCAACTCAGAACTATTTCTGCTTTTGTGGGTGTGGCACCACCTACCTCACAAAGTATCTTTGGGTGAGCAGAGGCTTTTTAGACTAAAACTGTCCAGTGGTTCCTTAACACCACAAAAACTAAACAAGAGCTCTAGGACAGCAATTTTCAGCTTTTTCATCTCATGGCTCATATAAATTAATTATAAAAACTCTTGTGGCACACCAAAAAATATATTTGACCAAAAAATAGGTGTAATTTTGATTCATTTACACTAGAGGCTATTGTTGTGTTGGCTGTTGTCATTCTTGTATTTGACAGTCTAAGGGAAAAGAGGTCAGTGCCCCAGACTAAATAGTTAAGTATTGCATGTTTTAAAAATTCTTGCAGCACACTGGTTAAAAATAGCTGCTCTAGGAAAATACATAAAAGCAACTCATAAAGTAACTTGTCCTCAAGATGCAGTCTTTACTTTTTTCTCATCCTATGTTCTACTCATTGGTTATTTAATATACTTTATCAAGTTTGTTATCTAGAGATCTTGTCCTTGAGGACAAAAAACCTTTAGGTTATCCCTGATTCAATTTAACTAATATAGCCATAGTTTAAAACAAAAAAAACACACCTCCTTTCCTGCCTCCCTCTCTTTTTACAAGCATTGACTACTTTTTTTAATTAAACAAGAGATAAATGTTAATAAGAAAAGGAAATGAAGAAAATGGAAAGAAGGAGAAAACAATAAATCACCTTAATAACTACCTAAAGATAACCATTGTTTTTTTTTAATTAATTAATTAATTTTTTCAAATACATTTGTCTCTGCCTTCCCCCCCACCACTTTCCCTTGCCCCCTTCCCCTCCCTCCCGCAACCCTTCCCCTTTGGTTTTGTCCATGAGTCCTTGCTATATGTTCCTTTACTTGCCCGTTCCCTTCCTTTTCCCCCTGCCCCTCCCCGCTCCTTCCCTATTGTCTCTGTTGGTTTCTTTTCCTTTCAGTGTTGCGGGTCTTATTTTCCTTGCATCTTTGGATTGTTGGTTAGGTTTCGCTTATCGGTGAGATCATATGGTATTTGTCTTTCGCCCCCTGGCTTATTTCACTTAGGATAATGCTCTCCAGTTCCATCCATGCTGTCGCGAAGTTTAGTAGTTCTTTTTTTCTTTCTGCTGCGTAGTATTCCATTGTGTAAATGTACCATAATTTTTTTATCCAGTCATCTACTGATGGGCATTTAGGTTGCTTCCAACACTTGGCTATTGTAAATTGTGCTGCTATGAACACTGGGGTGCATAGGTTCTTTTGTATTGGCGCTTTGGGATTCTTAGGGTATAGTCCCAGCAGGGGAATCGCTGGATCAAAAGGCAATTCCATTTTAGCTTTTTGAGGAAATTCCACACTGCTTTCCACAATGGCTGCACCAGTCTGCATTCCCACCAACAGTGGACTAGGTTCCCTTTTCTCCACAGCCTTGCCAGCACCTGTTGTTTGTTGATCTGTTTGTGATGGCCATTCTGACTGGTGTGAGGTGGTACCTCATGGTGGTTTTGATCTGCATTTCTCTGATGGCTGGTGATGCCAAGCATCCTTTCAAATGCCTCTGGACCCTCTGTATCTCTTCCTTGGAAAAGCGTCTGCCCAGGTCCTTTGCCCATTTTTTGATTGGATCGTTTGTCGTCTTGGGGTGGAGTCGAGTGAGGTCTTTATATATCTTGGAGACCAAACCTCTATCTGATGTATCATTAGCGAATATATTTTCCCATATGGTTGGCTCGCTTTTCATTTTGCTGATGTTTTCTTTAACTGTGCAGAAGCTTCTTATTTTGATGAGGTGCCACTTGTTTATTCTTTCCTTTATGTCCCTTGCTTTAGGAGACATATCGGTGAAAATATTATTGTGTGGGATATCTGAGAGTTTCCTGCCAGTGCTCTCCTCTAGGACTTTGATGGTGTTGTGACTTATATTTAAGTCTTTTATCCATCTTGAGTTTATTTTTGTGTATGGTGTCAGCTGATGATCCAATTTCAATTTTTTGCATGTAGCCGTCCAGCTCCCCCAACACCATTTGTTGAAGAGGCTATTATTGCTCCATTTTATGCTTCTGCCCCTTTTGTCAAATATTAGTTGCCCATATAGACCTGGGCTTATTTCTGGGCTTTCTATTCTGTTCCACTGGTCTATGGGTCTGTTCTTGTGCCAGTACCAGATTGTTTTGAGTATAGTGGCTTCGTAGTATAGTTTGATGTCCGGTATTGTGATCCCTCCTACTTTGTGTTTCTTTCTCAAAATTGCTGAGGCTATTTGGTGTCATTTATGGTTCCATATAAATTTTTGTAATGTCTGTTCTATTTCTGTGAAATATTTCATTGTTATCTTAATAGGGATTGCGTTGAATCTATAAGTTGCTTTGGGTAGTATGGACATTGTGATGATATTAATTCTTCCAATCCATGAGCACAGTATATGCTTCCATTTATTTATGTCTTCCTTAATTTCTTTCTTCAATTACAGTTTTCTGCGTACAGGTCTTTTAGCTCCTTGGTTAAATTTATTACTAGGTACTTTATTTTTCTTCTTGCTATATAGAATATTATTTTTTTCTGGTTTCTTCTCCTCTTTCATTGCTGGTGTACAAAAATGGCTTTGATTTCTGAATATTGACTTTGTATCCTGCTGTTTTGCCAAATTCACTTATTAGGTTGAGGAGTTTTTTGGTAGAGTCTACAGGGTTTTCTATGTACACTATCATGTCATCTGCAAACAGTGATAGTTTTACTTCCTCCTTTCCTATTTGGATGCCTTTT